GAGGAACAAGCAGCTCCAAAAGGAAGGCCAAGCATTTGCTACAAGATGCCATCATTCCATCCTGTGTAGGGACCTTTGGGACAGAGCTCATCCTGGGACAGACAGGATGAGGGAGAAGGTTCTTCTCCAGCCCTGGACCGCTTTGCATGACCTTGAGGTCCCAGCTGGGCTCGGGATGCTCACAGCAGCTTAGGAGGTCATTTCCTTTGTGCTCAGGACAAGGCCCTTGATAACCAGAGTGTGTGTTAATGGACTGATGCTGGCACCACAGCCGATGCTGCTATGGCATGGAGCACACTGCAGAGCATCCTCACATCCACGTGGAAATGAGCCTCTGCCTGAGACCATGGGCAGCTCACCTGGGGTCACACAGATGGTGTGGGGAACGGGAGGCTGCAGCAGCTCATCTGCCTTCCAGATCGCTGGAGCATAAACCGCAGCTGCAACGTTATCAGATACAAGGAAGGCAAGAAAAGGGTGTCCACTTAACAGCTGACACGAGGAGGCCTCTTAGGGGAAGTGCCATCTGGGCTGAGAATGGCATGGTGACACACGCCTGGGGAGGGCTGGGTGTTCAGAGAGGGTTCGGGAAAGGGTGGGCAGCTCTGTGCACACTAGCAGGAAAAGCAACTGGGGCTCCCGAAGCAGATGGGAAGGTGGGGGCCTGGTGAGTACAGACGAGGGGACGGAAAAGGGAAGCTGGTGAGAAGCAGGACACGCACTCAGGAGGCACCCTCCCCCTCAGCCTCCCTCAGACACCTCCGTGACTTGGGATGCACGATCGCTGTCCGAAGTGCTGACCGTCTCCTTTAGGATACTAGGAGAAAAGGCAGCATGCAAGCGAGCTGGTACCCACAAAGCAGAGGAGCCTCAGAGTCCAGAAGTGCCAGACCTCAGTGAAGTCTTGATGAAGGCTATGGACTCCCGAGAGGCCCCAGGAAACTGATGCACAAGGATGTACCACCCACAGGCTCGGCTTTGGGGCATCCTCAGCAATGCTCTGAATCTAAAGCGAGTCTAGTCGTTAACCCTCAGCCACTTGCTCTTTGGAATAAGGACAGAGGTGAGCAATTTCCAGGCACACCTGTGCTGTGAGGCAGGGCCTTGTGTAGGGAGGCCTCCGAATTGTGCAGTCCTGCCCTGTTTAGGTTGTTGGAAGCAGGCTGGGAAGGGGCCCGTCTCTCTCACAGCTGGCCCTTTGCTGTGTGCCCCAGCCCCGTCTCACCAGCTGCCTCTCCAGCCAGGAGCCCCAGGGAGCATCTGGTCCGGGCTGGATTCGGAGACTCGCAGATGTCAGTCCTTCCTTCATTCTCACACCTTAAAAGGCAAACAAAGCCACCACTGGGAGACTGGGTCTCCCTCCAGGGACTGTGGGTGCCCAGGCATGAGAAGGAAGGCAGCTCCCACTAACCCACAGCTGTTGCTGAGCTCTGTGATGCTAGAGATTCATCACCAAAGTCACAAGGAGAAGCCCTGGTGTCCCCAGCCAGCCTCACCTCTGAATACTCCCATGGATGCTTGAACAGTACCCCCAGAGCACCCAGAATCCCAGTCTCAGTGAGCAGAGCCTTCTCATGTGCCCTCCCCTACTGTGGAAGAGTCTACCCTCGGCCACACTGCACTGCTCTTCCTCCCCTTAGAACAGGCCGTGACTTTGTGGCAGCAGTGCATGGAAGAATGCCATTTCCCAGCCTTCTTGGCAGTTGCAGAGGCTGTGGGGCTGTGTTCTCACCAAAGCAACATGAGTAGCAGTGTAAGGAATGCCCCAGAAGAGATCTTAATCCCCTCTCCTCATCCTCCGCCTTTTAGCTGGAGTGCAGAATGATGGCAGCCACTTTGGGCCATGAAGCCCAAAGGGTCTTGGTCAGAGCAACTTCCGCGACCCTGATTTCAGAAGCACTGCTCTGTCGCAATTCCTATGGCAGTATTTCACTTCTATTCAAGTAAGTCCCCTTTCACATGGCAGAAGTTTTGAGTCTTCCTCAGCTTTTAGGCACTGAGAATGTCTCTTAGGCCAGAGTGGCATAAATAAATACACCCAGGGGCCTGGACCTAATCCTTATCCTCTATGAAGTAGGGGTGGGGATGAGTGAAATGCCCTTGGGACCAATTGCATTGATGGCACCAACTCAGTCCCTCTTCATTGCAGTCTTTTGCCCTTTCACTGCATAGCCCCTTCCACTCTGACTCTGAGCTTGGCCATGGGATTTCATGTAGCCAAGAGAATTTTAGGGTTGAAGTTTAAAAATCTACTTGTGTCTTCCTCTTCCTCTCTTAGAGCTGGGGGACCACCATGAGGAGGTACTGAGCTAGCTTGCTGCAGGATGAGCCAGATGGAACAGAGCAGAGGCCAAACTAGCTCAGCCAGTGACTACTGGGTGGGTGAGTGGACTGCAGCTCACCCCAAGAAGAATTTCAAGGCTAAGCCCTATCAAGATTAATTAACAACCACACAGCTGGCCTGTAGAATTGTGAACCATAGCAAATGCATTAATTAAGCCAATTAGTTTTGGGGCTCTTTGTTATGCAGCATTATAGCAATAGCTGACTCTTACAAAGTCCCCCTTTCCCCAACATTTCCAATGACTAGAGAAGGAATGACCTCCACAGGGCCAAGCATGGTATTAGGTAACATAGTGCATGAAGGTTGCAAGGTTGAAGCCCCAGTGCTGCCACTTACTACTTTTACGTCCTTGCATAAGTAACTACATTATCAGTTCTGTTCCTTCCTTTTCTCTTTTCTTTTCCTTTCTTTCTCCTTCCTTCCTAACTTCCTTCCTTCCTTCTTCCTTCCTTTCTTTTTTTGCCCCTGCCCCTGTCTCTTTTCCTTTCTCCTCCCTCCCTCTTTCCTTCCTCCCTTCCTTCCTATGGCCTTAAAACAGGAATTAAAATGAGCTCTTCTTTCTCTTCTACTTTTTTGGTTGTTGTGAGGATTGAACGAGCTAATAGAGGTAAAGTACTTGGAATGAAGTAGTTCTTGGTACAGATGAGCCTTAAGAAGTGCTCGTACTCATCCCAGCAGCCCCCTCTGCTCCCTCCTGGAGACCTGGAACATTGTCTCAGGTCCCTCTTTTTCGCCGTCACCTGGCAGAATGCCCTTCATGGTAAATATCCATGGTTTGCTGAATGTCTAGAGTGAAATTAATAGTTTTATTAGTAGTAATGCAAATCTCAATATTCTATTTCAACCTGAGGACAATATCTTTGCTCTTTGAATAAAGTTCATGTACGATATTGAACATGCATTTCAGTTGTACTTCTCCCTCACTTTCTATTCTGCTGTGAAATAAAACATCAAAACCTTCTGCACTCTCGGGCATTTACGTGCACTGCCCATGCCAACAGCACTTAACTGAAGCATTTCCCAGGAGCTCCTCCTGAGCGGGCTGAGAGGCGTTCTCCCTGGCCAAGAGGAATGGCATTTCTGTGGGAGGCTTTGCTGTCTTCCAACAAGCCCAGCTGCTCTCCAGAATCAGATCTCCTGGGCTCTTTCTCTTTCTCTTTCAAGTGTCCAGCTCTGCTCGGCAGCAGAAGCCTGGCTTTGGCATGGTTCCCCTCTCTGGTCACACGGAAGTCACAAAGCCACAGGCATCTTCCCCTTCCTGGTGTCCGGCTGTGCATGGCCGGGGTTGCAGGAAAACCACCTTGGGGGGTCCAACCATTCTGAGACTCACTGGGGGTGAGTTCAGGGCAAGGGCTCTGGGAGGAGCGGGCTCCCTCCTAACCCCACCTCCAAGCAGCAGGTGCAATTCTGTGTGTGCCGCCACGTACTGAAGAAAAGCCCACAGTGGCCACCAGATAGATCTTCAGAGGCCTCTATAAACCTCTATAAAAAGCCATGGCCATGGGCAAACGATATCCCATCCCCCGGAAGCCTTAGCTTCTACCTCCACAAGATGAAAGTGATGCCATTGTTCTCTGACTTCACTTTAAGGAAATGTCCATGAGAAAATAGATCTGCCAGATAAACACAAATATAGGCAATGATTGAGGTTTTGTTATGCCATTTGCTGATTTAGAAAACACCTAGGTAGGATGAGTTTTAAAAGATGCTGCATGAGTTATATATAATTCTTCATGTTTTTTCCTGGCTATGAGCATTAGTGAAATTTAGATTAGAGGATGGGATATGGGTAAAAACAAAACAAAAACAAAAACTAGAGAGTCCTCAGGAAAAAATGATACCAGATGACAGCAGATGACTAGCACTATCTAGTTTATTCCTCACAGTGAGGAGGTTTCTGTCATTTCCTTTTCACAGACCAGGGATCCTTGGCTCAGGAAGGTTAAAAGAATTGTTCAAGGTGAGAGGCAGAGCCTGTAGTTAACCACAGGGCTGTCAGCTGAGAGATGGGGAATGCACGGTTCATTTGACACTGTACATCTCTAGGCAAAAGGAGTTTGCTTTTTCAGGGCTCTGTTGAGGGCCTCTGATTCCCGGAAGCCCTGCTCTGACTGGACCCAGCTCTCCACCACCAGGGGGGCTGAAGGGAAGACCCTGAGGCCACCTCAGTCCATCTGGAGCCTGAGTTTCCTCTCCTGAAGATGAGTGCACTTCGGCCTCCCTGGTAGGGTGCTGGGACCATCCAGGGGTCGCTAGGCGGAAGCCCTCAGTCTGGTGCCTGTGACACCAGCCTCATTCTGTGCCTGCCTCTTTTGCACTGCTTGTCTGTCAGCATTAAGACAGGAGAGGTCGGCCTGGAGAGGAGGAGGAGAGGCGGCCTCCATGCACCTAGGCCAGGAGGAAACCTGAGTTCCATCATCTTGGGGATGGCAGCAAGCAGGGAGGTGGCCAGGGGGACTGCCTGGCTGGCTTTCCCAGGCGCCCCAGTGCCCCCAAGCCCTCTCTGCTCCCCAAGGGGGAGCTGTTGGGAAGGTGAAAGGACGTGCTGTCCTGTGGCACCTGGCGCTGCCCGCAGAGAAGAATCAGGGTGATGCCCAGGTCTCAGGCTGGCCTGACCCACCCAGGCTGCAGCCGTGTCACATAAGGAGGCCCCTACCTTTCACGGCTCCCGCTTCATTTTGCTTCTCAAAGAGCAGGTAGTGTGGGCTCTCGGGGAGAAAGGGCAGGCTCACCAGCTGGACGAAGGCGGGCACCACGATCACCCCAAACAGGTACGGCCAGGTGCTCTCCTGCAGGAGAAGAAGATGGGTCACACGGGAGCCTGGGCCCCTGGGCCGAGCAGCTGTGACTGCAGAAGGCTCCCTGCCGGCAGATCCCAGGAGCCAGGCCTGCGGGAGGGACCGAGCTGGGAGGTCACCAGCCCGGCGACGGGGCATGTCCCATGCACTGGTGAGGGCCCCATGGGGCAGTGACCTGCGGGCCACTCTGGCTCAGGCTGGCCAGTCACTTAGGGGTGCCAGGGTCGGCTGACACCCCAGGCTGTGGGGCGCTGTGGAGAGCCCGAGGGCGTCCTCAGAGCTCTTCTGTCCTCCGCATGGCCACAACTGGGCTGCCACGGGCAGGAATCCCACGGTGCCGCGATGGCAAGGCCCCCACACAACAGGAACTGTTCTCCTCCTTTCTGAACCTAGAGCTGACGTCTATTCACAAAACGCTACCAGTTCCCCGGCAGCACAGTCCTGTCTCTGCCGTCTGAAGGATGGACATGGTCAAGGCCAAGGCCTGCTGCTCGGTTTGGGGACCTCTAGCTAAAAAGCCAAGTATGGGAGAAGGAAAACAAAGAGATTTGGGGCTGCCAAGGCCAGAGGGAGTGGGCAGCGGGGAAGGAGAGCTCCTGGGATGGGGGTTCCTTTCGGCGTAAGGAAATATCTGCAATTACATAAGGCCGATGGTTGCATGGCTTTGTGAATATGCTAAAAACCACTCAACTGTGCACTGTAAAACTTGATGGTATATGGATTATATCTCAATTAAAGTTTTATAAACTGCAGAGGGAATGGCGGAGTCAGCATTCTGTTTTAGTGGGTTGCACATCAACCAACATGGATCAGAATCAACCTACCGTGAATCAGAATACTCAGACAAAATTACATCTGTCCTGACCATGTGCGGACATCTTTCTTGTCAGCGTTCCCTGAATACTACAGTATAACAACTACATGGGCTGGGGATTTAGCTCAGTGGTTCCGCCATCTGCCTTACAAGTGCAAAGTCCCAAGTTCGAGCCCCCATACCAAAAAACAAACAAACAAAAAACAACTACAGGCACAGCATTTGCATGGCATTGGGTGTTACAAGTCATCTCCAGATGACTCACAGTGTATGGAGGACCTGGGCATGGTGGGGCAGGCCTGTCATCCCAACATGCAGAGTCTGAGGCAGGGGATCATAAGTTCAAGCCCAGCCTGGGTAACTTAGCAACTTAGCGAGACCCTGCCTCCAAATAAACAATAACAAGGGCTGGGGATGTAGCTCAGTGCAGACTCTGGATTCAATTCCCAGTACCGCAACAAACAAACAAACAACAACAAAACAAAAACAAAAACCTCTCTCTCTATCTGTCTGTCTGTCTGTCTGTCTATCTGTCTATCTCTATCACTGACTACCTCTGTCCTACCTATCAGGAGATTTTGGGGTCCGTGGGGACCCTAGAACCAATGCCCCTGTGGATAGAAGTGTGACCCCCACTGTGTGTGTTGTTTCTTTTGTTTTCTGGCAGAGTTTGGTTGCTGTCTCGGAAAGAGCAAAGCCAGGTGGGCAGAAAAGACCGGGGAAGCCACCCAGGCTCTGGAGTGCTGGGGCCCTGGGCCTGGCGAAAGTGCATGCTGGCATTGTGTGAGTCAGGAAGCTCAGCCTTCTGGGGTGGGCTGGGGAGCTACTGCTGCACCGTGGAGGTGTCGCCAGGGACACCTGTGCCTGGGCCTCTGGGCCCAATCTCTTCCTGTGTCATCACAACAGAGGGGACTGTGTCCTGCAGCTGCCACTGGGTGGGGTGGGAGGATAGGATCTAGCAGGGCACCCTGCAGAGGCAGCATCCACCCAGGTCCACTGGGATAGCAACGGCAGACGGGAGGTAGGGTCGGGGATGCTGGTGGCTGGAGTCTCGGGCAAAGGCTGCTCGTGGTGATGCTGCTGCCATTCCATGGCTCCATTCCATGGACTTGGCTTGAGGACGAGAGGGAGCCTCTGAAGGATCTATACTCCACTGAGACAGACACTACTTCCTTGTAAGTCAGCGTTTCCGGGCTCCTAGAGGCGGAGGGTATGTTTAACACTGCATGATATCCCGGCCCATTTTCTCTTATGATAAGAAGATACCCGAGAGCTGGCAACTTATAAAGAATAAAAGTTTATTTGGATCACAGTGCTGGAGGCTGGGAAGCCCAGGAGGGCCTTGTGCTGGGTCATAACGGGTGAGACAGAACCAGCGTGACAGCTTGGCTCCCTCCTCCTCCACTGACAAAGCCATGGCTGCCTTCATGACCCCACCTAGTCCTGATCACATCCCAAGCCCCCTTCCAATACCGTCGACTTTGGGGTTGAGTTTCCCACACATGAACTTTGGGGGACACAGCCAAACCACAGCACACGACTGTCATTCCCGAGATGCTGTAACCAGCCCAGTGTGTCTTGTGCTGCCTGGCGTCTTCATTCTGGGACATGTGGGATGCTTCCTAAGCGGGGCCACCTGGAGGGCCATGGTGTGCTTTCCACCTCTGGAGGGAAGGCGGCTCCCTCCTTCCTGGGAACCTTGGCCTTGGACACTGACAGCCCTGGACCAGGCAAGGAGAAGGTCAAAGCAGCTTTTGCACATCTCTGAGCCTGCACAGGGAGAGGTGTGGGGCAGGGAGGATCCAGAGCAGAGCTGGGACTACATTTGTCAGGAGAAAGGGAGCTGAGCCAGCAGCGTGAACGTGACTTTCCTGGATGTGCTGGCGGGCCACGGGGAGGGGTGACAATTCCCTCACCTTCCTCTGAGAATGGCAGACAGGGTGTGTGGGGAGGTGAGTGCCTGAAGAGGAACATTTCCACCCATACTGTACATGACGACGATAAGGCAGCCACGGTAGCCTGCGCAGGTAGAGCGCGTGTCACGAATTAACAGAAGTGCCCTAACCACGAAGGCACATTTCCTCTCCCAACGACAACGGCAAACAAGAAACACTGCCCTCACCATTGCTGAGTCAAAGCTCGAAGCCTGGCCTGGGCCACCTAATGAGTGGTCAGCAGCTCCAGAGCAGACTGTGGGGTTTGAATCCCACCTCTACCCGTCTCACTGTGGCTGTGGCCAGGCTTCTGGAAGGCCCACATCTGTTTTCTTGTCTGCAGAGTGGGGGTAATGATATTGCCTCCCCGAAGGATGCTGGGAGGATTAAATGAGTTAACAGACGTGTAAAGCGCATGACACAGGGCTGCTCACACTGCAACGGGTCCACAGGAAAGACTGGACAAGCACACTCTACACATCATCTCCCATCCACTGGCAACAAGAGCCTGCTACTATGTCCACGGGTTGGAAATATCAATGGCAGGACAAAGAAGGCAGATGGCTCACCCAGACCACAGTCGGTTACAGAGGTATGGCTGAACACCAGGTCTGGGATCGCAGAACCTGAATTCTCACCTGGAAGGCCTGAGGTGGGTTCCCACGACAATGGAGCAGGTCGGAAGCCACCAGACCCAGGATGGGGCCAGGCGAGCCGTGTCTGACCTTCTTCCATCTGTCACAGGCCAAAGGACCCTCAGTGGCCCTCACAGTGCTGCTGGGCTCTTGGTTCCAACATGGGCCAAGGACTTGGCCCTTGACCTTACAGGGAGAGCAGAGACCATGCTGTCATGCAATAGGTCACCAACAGATGTCCATCAGAGGGTTGAGCAGGGTGGGAAAGGGCTTTCTTACTCACTGGCCACTTTCCTGAAGACCCCTTGCCATTTGCAGAGGGCAGCCTCTGGCTATCTTTTTAGGAGCAGTTCAAAAAGAAGCGTGCTTTAAAATATGGAGCATGACTCACCTAGGGCAGGACAGAGGCACCAAGGAGCATTAGCCCAGCGAGATATCACCATGCCAGTTTGACCCTGATGTGGCCAGGAAAACGCATGGGGTTCCATCTCCGTGGCCTTGCTACTGTATTTGCTCAGGAGGAAGGGTGTGGGTGGTCTTGTTGGCCAAGATGTATTTCAACTCCCCAACGGGTGAGGGGAGTGGGTTTTGTAGTAACTCTATTCTCTTGCTCTGTAATCTGCAAGGTTTCCACTTAAAAAATAGACTTCCAGGTCCCACTTCTCCCCAGCCAAAAATGACTCCAGTCCTTTCCATAAATAATCTCCTGGCCTGCGATGGGATGGAAGAATAGTTTTAAGTAGCGCTGGCATCACTGATCTCATCCTGAGTCAGGCTCTTGTTGAAGGATGTCACAAAGTGTCCGCAGCCCAGCCAAATGGACCTGGGGTCTGATGCCGGCTGGGCCTCTCAGTGCTAACAGAGGCAAAAAGGGGGAGCTGAGATTGGCCTCACGAGGGTCTTCTGGGACCGGAGGGGATGTTCTTCTTTAGATCTCTTAATATTTATGATCATAACAGGATGATGGCTGGTGTGATGTTGAGACCTCTCCAGGTGCTGAGTTCCAAGTTAAGTGACTTACAAATGTAACCTGCCGTGAAACAGCACAGTTTGTGATGTCATCAAAACACAACCTCGACCTTTAAATTTAACCTGGAGGGGTTCCGCTCCCCTGTCCTATTCCAGGGGTTCAGGTCTTTTCAGTTCAGTCTTATGAATGAGCAGGGTCCTATGTTAGCATCCTTTGCAACATCACCGTGGCCAGTCCAGAATGGTGGTCCGAACTGATACCGAGAGTGGACTGAATGATGAGTTCTCCCCCGGGTCTGGGTCAGGCTAGGATCCTGCGGTGGAAAGGGCTGGGACCAGAGGTAGATGGGTGACTTCTCCATTTCTCTTTCTCCTTCCTCTTGCCCTTCTCTGGCTTGCTAGACCGTGCAGGACTCCTCCAGGCTTTGAGGAGGGGATGAAACAGTGGTGAGGACCTGCATTGGATGTCCGGGGTGATGGATTTCTAATGTTGATGTTTCCCCCTTGAGCACTTTCTAGGGGTTCTGGAGAGCCTATCTTTGGGCCCCCAGCCTCCCCTGCAGTACCCCTGGCAGTCTGCACCTCTTTCTCTCTCTGCTGCAGCCCCTGGGGATCAGGGGCATGGATACTCTGGGTGTT